AGATCGCGATGTTTCGTGAAATAGTAGGATGTTTTTCACGGTATTTGATCGAATTGTATCGAATTTCACGGTATATTTGTCGGGTATACTTGTTCGTCACGTTTTTAGCGAATATATATCGGGACGTTTTTGTATTACGCGAAGGTAAAGTGCTTTTCTTTTGAGGATTCGCATGAGCTGCCATCTGGTGATCGAAAGAGGTATATTCATTCGAACAAGAAATACTAAAGATTGATCGAAATACGATTTTTATACGTGAGATCGAAAAAGAATGGAAGATACTTTTTTGCGAGTCGAAATTATTAATATTAATCTTATAATTTATTACTTGAACATTTTCTACAACGAATTAAAAGACTGTAAATTATGTTGGATTGTTGAAATCATTTCGAATCGATATTTATATATATATATATATAAATTTCGTGAAATAATGTTAGATTTTAACGAATGTGATGGTAAATTTTCATATTGTGTCGATGCAAAGCTTTTGAAAATATGGAATTGGTGCGTTGGTAAACGAAATGAACATTTCCATGATCGTAAAACAACGTTCGAATGAAAATTACAAATTGCTCATTTGGCGAATTGCCAACGAAGAATATTAAAAGTGTATATCGATCGAAATTATTCCATGAAAATTTTCAATGCTGATTAAGCATTGAAAATTCTGCAATAATCACGACTCACCCATTCTCGAATACGAAACTCTTCCATCTCGAAAAATAGTTTATCGATACGATATTACCACGATCACCGATGCATTCAATGCATCTGCGCATAAATTGCGAATCTATTTTAGCGTACAGTAAGGGCTTTGCGGGTCTGATATATACGTACTGCCTTAAATTGCCAAATTTCTAGTGTTATAAATACGCGCAAGTCAGTGAAAAAGAATGGTTAAACTATCGAACGGGCAACAAGCATTGACAAGGTCGAAACATACGATTTTCCGATTTGTCGAAAGGAATAAAATCCAATTTTAAACAGGCGGCCCGTATTATTTGATTGTATTTTAACTATATCCATCGGATTCGTTAAAAAATATTCTCTTGTTTCTCGCCATTTAGCAGAGTACAAATATTTTTGGAGAGTAATTTTTCGCGATTCTCGCGGTTCGATTTGCAACGAAAGATTCGATATAATAAGAAGGAGAGGATAACGATTAAGACAGAAAGAAAGATTTAGTATTCGTTGTTCGTACGTAAAAATTTTAGAAATACGCGAGGTTTCGAAATTACGCGCTCGACACGGCTCGGAAAAATTTCGGCGGAATTGGTGTAGATCTCGATACGACTGAACCTTGATTCGCTCGAATCGATCCGAAATAATACGAAAGTAATCGAAGTCTCGACCGAAGCCTGGCCGAATTTTTCCGAAAATTTTGAAATTATAACGCTCGGGACTGATCGGAAAAATTCGGGCGAAATCGATCGAAGAAACGGAGATATCGAAATCTTCATCGATCTTGTTCGAATTTTTTTTCTATCTGACCCGAAGTTTCGATTTCTGAGCCTCAATATACATTATTAATAAGAAGTATCGAATATAATTCGTTACCATTTCTCTACAGAGATACACGTCCGTTAAATAAAAATTCCAAAAATACCGGGAATCGTCCGCGAAAAAATCCGTTTTCGTCCGAGCTGAACTATATAACAAATATGTGTGGCTAACTATTTTTTCTTCTTTGTTTGTGGGGTTTTTATTTTTTTTTATTTTTTTCTTTTCTTCTTTTTTTTTTTTTTTTTTACCTAATTTTCTTATCCGGAGCGTTTTCCACACGCTACACGTTTTTAGAGCCAAAGAGAAGAATACACTTGCAGGATACTTAAATCACGATTCGCGTGTTCCTCGCAAAACTGACACACCCTCACTTCTCAAAAGAACTCGCGTTCAACACACGTTACACAATGTTTATATCATCGAACGATGATTATTAGGATAAATCACGAATAATCACGGGTTCTGAAAAAGAAAAGAAAAAAAAAGACATAATAAGTAAAGATAAATAAACAAATACTGAAACGAAACCCGACAGCATCCGCACGAAACGGGGAAAAAGCACCTTTTTTTCTTAACCATTTATACTTTTAGATTGCGCCTAAAAATTAGTTTTCTTAGCTGGGTTAATTTTCAGCTAATCGCATATAAGATTTTTTCTCTCCTCTTGTGTATGGTTTTTTAATACATTTTTGTTTTTTTATCTTTGTTTTTTTTTTTAAATAATTGTTTCTCTCTGGGAAAATTGATTAACTTTTTTTTTTACCAAATCATCGGACTTAGTCCTGCTTGATTAGCTCTTGGACCATACGTGTTTTAGTGCGCATGATGTGTGTTATTATTATTACGGTTATTATTATTATTAATAATAATATTATTATTATTATCATTAATTTTATCATTGCTATTAGCATTATTATGATTATTATGATTATTATTATTATTATTATTACTATTATTATTATTATTATTATTATTATTATTATTATTATTATTCTATTATTCACTGCGTACATAGCTGCTACGATTTACTATAATTACTTATTATTATTATCATCATCATCATCATTATTGTTATTATCATCATCGTCGCTACACGATATTATTGAATATCAATTAGTTTTACCGTTCACACCAATATTGTATATCATGTGTGTATTCGTCATTACCATTAGTATTATCGTCAACAACCGTCACCGATTATCGTTTAAAAAGAAAAAAAAAAAAAAAA